TATGACATTGTTATATGTCATGATTGAAATTCAAGTTTGTAGAAAGGACAGATGGCAACCTTGATTATAATTTTTTTTAAGATTAAAATATAGTCATTGCAAACTGTGGCAACTGAGGAAATTAAACCAAAGTGTTTAATAAATGCAAGGTAGGCTCCAAATAAAAGCTCCTTCCCCATGGGCATGAATTGCTTTCTATGCTACTAAAAGCCTTCTGTTTTTTTCAAAGACATGACAACAAAGAGGTGGTCACTAGGTCCTCCCCACCCTCACATTTTTCGTGACACACTACATCTAGCAAACTATGCCTCTTGTCAGCAGTAAAATGACCCTGGACAAAGCCCACCACTGATGGATCAGGATTAATGCTGTGCTCTGGGAGCAAGAATATCTTTCAGTATCATTCAGTGACTTTAATACTCAAACTACTAGTTTTAACAAACTGAAGTCACAACTTGCCACAAAACAGACAGCAATTGAAGAGTGTATGGTGCAAACTTTCCCACAGTTCTTCAGCAGTATGTCAAGTTGTGACCCTGGAGGGTAAGGGCAAGGGTGAAAATTAGCCATTGAACTCACTCTGTTAATTCATGGTGTAGTGTTGAAGATTCCCAGAAAAGATGCCTACTGAGTCAATCCTGATATCTCTTTTTTATTGTAAAATGGATTTATGAAAAGAAGAATGAAGTGATGGAATATATGCTTTGAAGTCTGTTGCCAATTTAGCTTTATGATAAGGGTTAAAAGAGTCTCTAGTTTTAATTCACTTGGGAGATTCTTTTTCTTATTAAAACTCTGTAGGAAAAGAAATGGCTTTTGGTATTTAACTAGATTATAGACAAGTAGCCAAGCATACTGGTTTAAAGTGTCTGTTTTATGAGTTATGTTATTCATTTGTAGGTTTTTATTTCAGAGACTTATCAAAGATATATGTGAGTCGATTTAAATGAGATATGCCTGATTACAAATTGTTATAAAGTGCACTTTTTGTGGTGGTTCTTCATTTTTAAGAAAGCTGGTGACAAGGATGTCCAATCATCACAGATCACAAGAGTCCACTCCACTGGGAAAAACTCGGCTTCCTCTTCCTGTTCCTGTCTCAGGATTGTGAAACCACGTGCTTTCTTCTCAGTGCTCCCTTCGCACTCTTCACTTCCCTTTATTACAGTACTTGCAGTCCTGCATAATAATTATGTATTTACATGTCTATCATGTCTACTAAATTGTGCATGCCTTGAGAGCTCCACTATATCTTAATCATACTTATAATTCTGGGGTGGGCAGAGGAGGCACTCAATAAGTAATGAATGCTTCAGAAGGCATTCCCATTTCTCTTTAGAAAATTGTCAACATTGGAAATTGCCATGTTCTCAAGGAAAGCAGGATTCTCTTCTAGCTGTCACTGCAGTTAAAACAATTAACACCGTGTCTACCACACAGCACGACTACAATTTCTGTCTTCCATCAATTCCAAATTCTTCAGTTTGTTACATTTCTAAGGGAAGAGATAGGTATTTTTGTCACCAAAATAATAGAAGTTAAAGAAGAGACTATTGGTATGCCACAGGTCTGCCTTGGGCTCAGAACAAAAGTAAAAAGAATATAATAGAGTATATAATCTATACATTAAGATTTCTGGTTAGTAAAAAATTACAAGAAGTAAAAATACACTTCAACATTGGCTACTGCCTTCATTTCTCACACTTCTAGCCACGTGGTATTGAAAAACATGCACTTTGCAGAATATTGTCTGCCTACTGAGCATCAGTACTCCATCTCAGAGGCCACCCACTCTGGTGCTCTCTGAAAGCAGAAAAACATATTACAGAGTCAAAATGGAATGATAAAAGATGAAAGCAGTGAATAATTAATAGATGACTAATGATTTGGTTTACCTCTAAGTGTTTCTGCTTGCCTATGTGGCAAATAATCAAGCCTGAAAAAGGAAGGAATGGAAAAGCCAGTGTTTTCAAGCAACAAGGCATCAAGCCAGCACTCTGCTTACAGCTGCTTCTTTAAGAGTGAAACTCTAACATATGCTCTGTTCTGAACTGATGGAATTTGATATGGAATGTTGCTGTTGCTGCTGAGGGTAGTTTGAGATTGCCCTCGATCACTGCATCAGAGGGGTCCTTTCTAAGTTAGTGAAAATGAATAGTCTTCAAAGACTTGATATTGCATCAATTTCTTATACTACAAAAAGATACCATTTTAGGAAAAAAATGAATAATAATTCAATAAGCTTTGTTTTTATCTATTTTTATTACTTCATTCTTTGAGGTTATAATATAATTACATCTTTTTTCCCTTTCCTTTCTCCCAACCCTCTGGTATACCCATCAGCTCTCTTTCAAATTCATGGCCTCTTTTTTCATTAATTATTATTACATACATATATTCCTACATATAACCTACTCAGTCTGCATAATCTTCCTCAGCTGTATGTCTTTAGGGCTGATCATTTGGTGTTGGACATCCAGTTGGTGTGCTCTTCCTTGGGGAGGACTGTTCCTCCCACTCTCAGTGCTCCTCAGTGCCTGTAGTTATTTAAACAAACTTTCTTCTCTCATCTTTGCCAGATTCTAAAGATAAAGAGACTAGAAATAAGGCTCGTTACTAACTGCTTTTTCTACCCACAATCCCACCTAAAATGTGGCTGAGCTAAGTTCAGTTAACTGCTTTCCAGCTGCTGGTAATGGGAGACATATTAGAGTGTTCAGTATTGGCACTGGTGAAATTATGATGCTTCTACTTTCAAAAGAGTCACAGAATCCAGTCACCTTTTACTATCTGGATTATTCGGCTGGCTACCACTGGTCTCCTCAGTGTCCCATTGCCCTCTCCACCTTACTCTTCAGATAGCCATCAGGTCAAAGCGTGCTGTCCTGCAAGAGTGAGAGCCACGTTTTTTCGGAGGCCCACTGCTTTCCTTATCCCCCCTATAACCAGGTACACATGTTCCCAATCCATTTCCTCAGTCGTTCAGACTCCCTGGATATTGCTAGCAAACCAGACACAGCCACTTCTCTGGCCTTTTCAGGGTCTGTTCCTCCAGGAAAACTACAGCACACTCTGTTACGTCTTTCATTACTTTGTCTCTATGTCATTTTCCCCCCAGCAAGACATGTTCTTCAGTCTCTTGAAGATTCTGTGCACACAAGCTCTCCACATCGCATTTTCCATCATTAAATTCCATCATTGCATTTATCACTTGAAAGACACTGGAATGTAGTCATCTTCTTCATCTAAAATCCATGAGCACAGGGATCATTTTAATTGTTTTGTACATTGCTATCTCTCTAGCATATACAATATTTGTTGTGATAAAGCAATGAAGATTTTTCAAAATTATGAAACTTTTCCTTGTCTGTAACATGCTGATGATTGAGATGTGGCATTATTATTGGAGAAAATCTTGCCTAGAGGTTTGCATATAAATATTTTCCAAAAGCTATTTGTGCCTGCCTTTGTATGCTGGTATCAAAATTCTATGAAAGAAAATTAAGTTATTAAAGTCCCAAGTGAAACCAATTACACTGTGTTTTAATGAACAAGATATTGTCAACACTTCCTTTTGTGGTGTGCAGGAGTTGGAAATGAGAGTGAAGGTAGGAATCAGAATCTTTAAAACTGGACAGAGAGGGCAAAGCATGTGGTCAACTTGTCACCAGACATTAGAAATGACCAGCTCTCTAGTCTTTGCTGAGAAGAATCCTCAAGACCAAAAATTGAGGAAGCTACCATAATGTTTTAAATTGTGCAATTATATTGGGTTATGTAAGACTACTGAATTAACACATGCACACTAAATCTTTTTCAATATAAAATTAATAAATTAAAGGTGAGTTAAAGCTTGTACTGCTCATTCAAGTATCATCCAATGACAAATAAATACACTCCTGTGTGAGAATACAGAGAATACAGAGCTTCTCTGTCACTGATAGCTAATAAATTCCTTCCCATTAAAATGTAATTGAAAATCTCAGATGATATTTAAGTTTCCACAAGTGTAAACTACTGTAGCTACAATTCACAATGCATTTAAAACAACTGTTCTTTATCATTAAAGTTAATAATATGCACATTAACCTCTTATGTAGTCTAAATCAATATTGTAGTTTAAAAGATATGACCTCTGGCCAGCTTTGTCTAAATATTGATCCCATTGTCATTTGTATAAGGTATCAAACAAATTACACACTGCACCAATACCATTCATGCTGTTCTCACAGAGCCTCTGACTTTGTGAGTTCTTATAAAATGAGACATGATATGACAAAGAAAGTGAGACATCCCAAAATGTAACTATGGAAAGGATGATTTGCATATGACAGAGCGAAGTCCCTATGGATAGATAACTTCCAGGTCCTTTCTTTCCAGTGAACATTAAGAAACAGAGGTGCCACTCTTTAGCATGCAGACTTTGCCTGTTGATCTTAAGTTCCCAACAGCAGACTTGTTCAAACTCATAGGCTCTAATTTACTTTATCTGTTTGTGAATCCCATAGATATCTCAGGGGAAAGTAACTCAACTTTAGTCAGATTGTAGTGGTGTTATTCCTCAATATAGCCATTTTCTCACAATAAACTTATTTGAAAGTCCCTGTGATGAGTTACTAGTGGATTAGGTAAATTGAAAAGTATCTACAAGATTAAAGTGATTGATTAGTTCAAACAGTCATAATAGAACCAATGAACACGAGAGGGTGGGCACACTGCACTTTCTCATCACAGCTGTAGTATTATTTTTGTTAAAAATTACATCAGGTCATAAGTCAAGCTATATACTTTGGTCTCAAGTTCTAAATTGTCACAAATCATAGCAATTGCTAATATCCAGTTACATCTGTTCTGATGAATTTGTTTTTAATTTGTAAGCTTTTTCACTTGTTTATTATAAAATTGTTTAGGGGAAGATTGTGATCACAAAGGATATGATCATGATGCCATCACTACAGATACTATATATGTTAAAAACATTCTCCCCAAATCTCCCGTAGGTAAAAGTGATCCATTTTGTGTAGTGGAACTGAACAATGATAGGCTGCTAACACACACTGTCTACAAAAACCTCAATCCTGAGTGGAACAAAGTGTTCACATTGTAAGTACAACAATCACTTTGTGCTCATTTTGAAACTGGTGTGAAAATATAGTTCACCTTGGGACTGTGTGTGTGTGTGTGTGTGTGTGTGTGTGTGTGTGTGTGTGTGTGCTTGTGTACTCCAGTTCACAGTGCAATGCATCTGCTCTGCCTTTGCTAACTTTGGATTTCCAAACCCCCTACCTTCTCAGGAGTGAAACTTGGGAAAGGGGTATGTTCTTTTTCTGTGTATTCACTGGATTTTTTTTCACTGTGCTTTTTATCTGGCCTGATGAAGGGTTTGCTCCCTGTCACTGAATCTGCATCCTGCTTCTTCCTTTTGTACTTTCTATTGAAATTCTTCCCAATCACACAGACACCCAGAAGGACAAAGCACTGTTTGTTCCGTCACTGAAATCAGCAAACAGTCCAGTCGGGTTTGGCAGATGCTGATTTTGGCTTGTTTCATTTTACCACAATAAGGACATTAAGCATTGTCCTAGGTCTCAAAACAACCTTTGAGTTAATTTTCCTTTTGTTTTAAAAAGTTTGTAAATCTTTTCCACTGTGCACTGTAAAAGCTGTGCATGCCACACTCTAGTAGTCTACAAGTCCCCTTTTAAAAACTGGGCTGTAGAGAATGGACTCCACAAAGGAAAACTCTCAAAACAGAAGTACTTAACAGTTTTCTAACATGGTTTTATTTCTTGTACATAAAAAAGTGCTAAATTCCTCATTAATTCCTTATAATGCCTCTGCTTAAGAGCCAGTAACTAATCAGCTTTAATTATCTGACCAATTTATTTTTAAGGAATTCCACATTTTTATGAGATGAAAGCCTAGTCAGGAGGCTTGCACTCCTAAGAGGGCCATGGAGAGTGTTTTCTCTAGAATGCATAATTGAATGAATAGGTTTGATTATTATCAAAGCGATTAATTGATTGTACCCTGGTAAAGCCTCTTTTCACGTGCAGTTATGGTGTGTCAGTAATGAATATATTCTTTTTTGTTTTCTCTTAATTCATATTTTCTTGGTAAACAATTTGATTGAAAAATAAATGCTGTCAACAATTGAGACTTACTTTTCTTGAAATAAAAATATGAAGAACTCACACAGTCTTTTATTATCATGTGTTGTCTTTGGAACTTGCTGGAATATAACATTTTTTCTAAATCCAAGGATAGTACTATACTTATAAATGCTATATTTTCTCTATTCTGTTTTCTCTGTTTGCTACAAACCTAACAGAAACAGTAAGTGCATTAGTAAGACGTTAAAAAATAGACATGTCATAGTGTAGTAAAAAGAATAAGAGTTCAAAAATCCATTGTGACTCCTTTTGATAGCAAACTTGTGATGTTTTACGTAGGAGTTATGTGATTGTATGATTTATTGTTATAACGAGAAGAGGCAGAGGAACCTAAAGACCACCAGCAGTACTTAGTGATTTTTCCAGTAATTTATTCTTTGCATATCCAGATCAAAAATGATATGTCATTAAATAATGTAACTGAAAGTCATAGTAGTCTTCAAAGTTCCATATGAAATGACCCTTGCTGTTGTCATTTTAGATACATTACGAAAAATTGTCAGCTTCCGCTCTACCTCATACGTGTATGTCTGCCTGAAAATAATACATGTAAAAATAAAGATACAGCAAACCAGTTAGTACTATAAAGAATTCGGAACCAATCTAGCTCTGCTCCATACTGATGGAGTCTTTTTTCCTTGGGTATGTTTATTACGCAGCAACATTAAAGACATCCATTCAGTCTTGGAAGTGACAGTTTATGATGAAGACCGTGACCGGAGCGCCGACTTTCTGGGCAGAGTTGCTATACCGTTGCTGTCTGTAAGTTTTATTCACCTGGCACACTGTTCTGTGTTGCTTTTGCTCAAGGTAAAAAAAAAAAAAAAAAAAAAAAAAAAGAAAGAAAGAAAAAAAACCCTCAGCTCTATGTCTGTCATTTCTCAACCCGGCTCTGTAATAAGAACACTAAAAATTTTAACATACTCAATGCACGGCCATGTTGAATCCCATGATAGTTAATTTTTCTTGACAGACTTGATCCTGGTAATGAACAGGTACTTGTCAGAATTGCCACAGTTGTTTTGGGTTCTCTGTCAGTTTCAGCAGCTGGGGGTCAAAGGTCACTGGGGGAGTGTATTCAGTGGAGACCGCAAGACAGACGGCTGTCATGTCCTTTTCCCGCAGATTCAAAATGGTGAACAGAAAGCCTACGTCTTGAAAAACAAGCAGCTGACAGGGCCCACAAAGGGGGTCATCTGTCTTGAAATAGATGTGATTTTTAATGCTGTAAGTCTTAACTTTGGCTTTTTTGTACTGCTAAAGAGTTCAGTTTCATGAAAGCTTTTGTTCCTGATTTGTAGAGAATTTCTGTCATTCCTCATTTTCTCTAAACCTTGATGTATCCTGGAGAATATGCTTCTGGCACACCCACACTTTCTGCTACAGTGGCGCTGCCGCCGCCGTGTGCTTGGCTGCTGCCTGCCTGCCTGCCTGCCTGCCTGAGAGAGGGACACGCATGCATATGCAACTGTATACATTTATATTTTATGAGCACAGCAGCCAGGACTTTGAAACTTTAGAAATTATATTGCAAATGGAACTGCATGCAAAACTTGTAAACAGTTTTAATATATGAACCCATAACAGACACATATGTTGATGTATAGGTGAAAGCCAGCTTACGAACATTAATTCCCAAAGAACAGAAGTACATTGAAGAGGAGAACAGGCTCTCCAAACAGGTAAAAAACAAAGAAAGATTAATCCCTCTGGGAAGAACTGATTGGCTCTGTAAAACATCGGGGTAAATTCAAATAAACCTTGGAGGTCTGGAGGGGGGACGTCCTTGCAAATTTTGATCACCTACATATTGAAAATGGCTCTTTTTTCTCCTTTCTTTTCCTCTCTTCCTTTCTTAAAAAGATCAAGCAAAGGCAAAACCAAAATAACAAATTAAATGGGGGTGGTAAGAAAGGAGAAGGGATGCTATGGACATGTGCTTATGCACTAACCAGAGAATGGTCATTTGGAACGTAAACTACAATTAGACTGCCATGGAGTGTGTGAGTGAGACCGCCAAATCTATCAAATATGTGCACAGACCACCCACAGGTATGATGCAGGTGTGCAGAGGGAATAACGCACTCCCCTCTAATCCAGTGAGGGGGGAATCTTTTAATTAGCTTTTAACAACAATCAGTAAGAAGTGAAGTTTCCTGACATTTTCTACTAAAACAAACAAACAAAAAACAGGAATTCTGATCTTCCTTTTCTGAGTCTGCATTAAAGCTTGGCATTTATCAATAATAAGTTAAAATTTACTTTAATATCAAGTTAAGAAAAAGTGCTACCTACCCTTTTCAAATGCTTAATACAGTTTACAAAGCTAAAATACAATGTGTTTATTATGGCTATAAAATCACTGAGCTTATTTTACTATAAAATATTTGATAATTTTCTGTGCCATAAGAAACCTTAAAATATTTTTATTTTTAATATAATAAATTCACCACAAAATGAAACGTTTCGGCATTTAAACAATGTGCATTACAAATGAAATATTTATCTAAGTAGAAAAACATATTATATTTCTGTGTAATTATAGATAGGAATAATAAAAATTGTTCTTTAAAAAAAAAGTGCTAGGAACTAAGAAGGGAAATATGCAGGGAGACTCTCTGGCTGAACAAAATTCCAGCTTTAAAATGTGTTATAACTGCTTTGTACATGCATGCATATATTTTACACATGTACTTTGTCATCTGAACTCAGTCAGTTTTATGTGTTTCTTTAAAATACCAGATTAATACTGAAATATACTTAGAATAGTAACATACTGACCTGTAGACATGTGATTGCATTAGTTATCCATTTCTGTGTGTGACTGTTAAAACCATTATCTAGTCCGTGGACATCCTTTTTACTGTTGAAGTCCTGCTATAGTTTTTCAATTTCAATTGAAATTGCATCAGTTTAATAAATACTGCTTCTAATAAGATAGGAAACTATCAAAGTTTCCTAACTCTTGAATCATAGGAAAATAATGAGGAAATAGAGAGTGGATTTAATGTATAATAAGGAATGATTATGAGACAGGAGCAGTCCTACTAAGTGGAAAAAGTATTTGAAATCATAGTGCTTCTATAATAAGCTACTTTAGACAGGCTTTCTGTAGGACTCTAAATCAAAACATTCCAAGGTATGCAATTCACTTTGAAGCATCTTGAAATTAAAACATTTAATTCGTCTTAAAGAGAAGGGAGTTCAAAATTAATAGGGATCCATGTTTTGAACGCAGATGTTTTTCTTATGAACAAACATACAAGCTTACATGAAAACATTATTTTAAAATATACATTGACCATAAAAAAAAATTGTTCATCCCACCTAGTTCTTTCCAATCTTTTCCCCGAATGCTTCCTTTCCTTTTCCTAGCGAGCCAAATCACTTGGTGAGTTTTTGTGACCTTATTGCCTTTCTGGGTCCTTTCTAAGTCACCACCACCTTGAAGAATCATACAGTAGATTTGATTGTTTTCAGGCTTATAAATTCTAATACTGTTTTCATTTTCCTTACAGCTGCTTCTGAGAAACTTCGTCAGAACGAAGCGTTGTGTCATGGTGCTGGTAAACGCTGCATACTACGTTAATAGCTGCTTTGATTGGGATTCACCCCCAAGGAGTCTTGCAGCTTTTGTGGTATGATCACACTGTATTACTCGTCCATTGTTATTCATCAGATTCAGCAATCTTAACTCCAAGTCTCTGTGGCTATAGTAACAGCTATGTTGATAGAGCCATTTTAAAACTCCTATTTTGAGACTTGACTGGACAGATTTGCTGTGGGCAGGAACCTGATGGATTGTTCAGGGTCTGAATCCAAGAATATATTCCTCAGATTTCCGGAACGCAAGACATCTTAGCCAAAGTATAATTTTCTCTGACACTTAAAAAGTAAAATTTTTGCATATTGTACAATTCCAGATCCCAATAGGAGATCCAAAAAAAAAAAAAATTCTCTGTGGGAAAAAAAATGACAATGGTAGCAGCCTTGGCCATCGTACTTTGCTTTTACTCAGTTTGGAAGTATTTTGTCAGAATAGGAGCATCACTGACCGCAGACGCTGCTTGGTAAGGCTTTAATACGTGAGGCAACCAGAAAGGGATGTGACCTATTTAAGAGATGTTTCTGTGGTTCCCAGTTTTTAAAAAGTCACAAGTAAGAATGTTATCGACCCAAATATTCTGCTCACCAGGCTCATCCTGTACCCTTTACACTGATTATTTAAGAACTGATACGGAGACCAGCTGGCAGTGGCAGAAAATCTAAAAAGGACTTCCTCTGGACCTAGCCAGGATGCTCTGAACTCATGCTATTTCTTCTGGTTCCATGTTTTACTTGAAGTGTCTGTGGAGTCCGTCTTTTGAAAGTCTTTATTTTATTTTGTGTTTTTTAGGAAATAAGCACCTTATGCTTCCTTGAAAATGCCAGTTTTGCAAACTATGACATTATTGTGAGGGCTTACAGAAAGGCCTTAATTAGAGTAACAATCACTTTTAGTGTTACCATTCAAATGAATGTCTGCTTCTAGTTCTTGAAGCTCTGTCCTCCCCACAGGCCCGTGTGGGACTTTCACTAATGTCCAAGCACATGAACAAAGACTGTGTGCTCCTTTGTGTTGCCACTTAGAGAAAGTCAGCAGCCTGCTTCCCATAGACATGCTGCTGTCTCCTTAAAGATGGTGACTGCCACCACCATTGTTTAAAAAAATAAATTCTCCTCTCTATACTCTTCTAATACCTCTCACATAACAGACACATTGGAGTATTCTGATTTTTCATTAGCATAGAGATATTACGATAGTAAGCAAAATGATACATAATTTCTACATATACTTTATATCATTACTTTCAGGTTCTCTGGGGTCACATAATGACAATAAAACTCTACTGGAAATGTCTGCTGCCATTTCTGACGAACTTTCTTTAAAGCCAACTCCATTGATGCTTGTAAAATTTGAAAACATAAAAATGTATATAATTCTATCATTTATTCAGGGACATTCATTGTGGGTTGTGTGGCGTTACAGCATGTTGTGTGAGTCTTCATAAACTACTTCCAGCTCCCTAAGGTTATTTGTAAAATTAATTCAAGATGGCAGCCCCTCTTCACAATCTCCTTTTGCTTCTTAAAAAAGAAAAGAAGCCACTGAAATGCTGAAAAACAGAGACACCTGCATGTAACCTCCTTACAGTGATACCACTTGAAGGGGCCAGTGCACTACAGGAAATGCAGCATCCACCGTAGCCAGTGGCCAGTTTATAACAGACTCAGTCCTAGGAATGCAAGGGGTTTGCCCAGAGAGGAACGTGGGATAATGAAGGTAGGAAACAGGGTGGAAAAGTGATGGAACTGGAAAGCGCATGACAAAATGTGCAGAAACTGTTAACCATTTTGTTGGAAAAAGAAAAATAATTGCACTTTATTGAATGTGATTGAAGTAATGAATCACAAATGTCCTCTACTTAGACTCTAGTTGGGAGTCCGTGGGGATGTGAACTGTTCTCCCATCACTTGAAGAGTACCTAGCACTTAGTTAGCTTCCAGTACAAATTCCAACTAAGTCTTTTGAGGCTGCCAATCTGAAAATTTTTCTTATATGGAGAAACTCCAAGTAAATAAGAGTCTGCTATAATAAATCTGGTTATTACATCATGATAAGAATACGTTAATAGAATCAAAACAATTTTCCCTATAATTTCTATATGAACCCAAAATTATGTTATAATCTCTTATCAATAATCTACTTAATCATGGATTGAATTTTGATAAAGAAAGATTCATACAAACAAGAATTCATTTTTCAGGTGCTCCCTACGTGCCAAGGAGCTATTGTTCATATAGAAATACATGAAAATGCACTTGCACTAAGAATTTAATATTTTCAACAATTTCATGATGTAGATTTTATTATTTTCCTAGTATATAGATGAAGAAACTGAGGCTCATAAATGTACCTTATGCCACACAGTAGATATTCTTTTCTATAGAATCCTTATAATTCAGAAAAAGACTTTTTAAAAGACTTTAGCCATCTTAGAGAGAGTAAATGAGGTATTTAAAAATGAAATGGTCCAGAGTTGCCATTGCAGACTCAGAGCCACAGTAGGGAAATTTGGTGAAAAGAACTGATTTCCATTAGATGAACATAAACAGTGCCCATTGTTATGGACATATTGTTCCCATCATGCCCTCTTGACAGATCATGGGTCTATTATTATAATATTGGTTCCATTTGGCCCATGTTTTCCTAACTGCAGCTGCTGCATGGAGGACATGCATCTGTACCATTATGTGGCTTAGTTTTAGGCCTAGATCAGTATGCTTTTTAATGTTTAAATGAATGTGAATTTTTTTCTATTATATTTTGGTTTTCTCTACTAATTTAATTCTCTGAAAACCAAATGCAAACCAGTGAGGTCAAAATGGAAGAGAACAACCCTATTTTGCATCTCAGTGTCAATGACCCTGCAAATGCTGACAGCAGCCACAGCCTCCTACCGCTACCTGTGTTGCGGGCAATAGAGGCGGAGTCGGTAGGGAAGGGCAAGTGGAGCAAGCAGGCTTCTGGAAGATCCTTGTTGCCCACTGCTAGAAGTGGATTTTAAGTTTTCTGATGAATATTGTTTTTCCAAGGGAGCTCTGTTGTGTGTTGTGTAGAAGCCACTGCTTGTCCCCAGGAATCAGCTACTGCAGACCTGGAAATATCTTACAAATTGGACTAATTTTCATCAGGCTCTTGACCAGACATTTGTGTTCTTGTAGAAGTCAGTGGGTGCAAAATGGAAAAAGAAAAGAGGAATGAGCGAGCACACGTTCTTTCTTTTCAACACTGTCATTTCTCACTGTAATGAGCACAAAAATAATTGGAAAACTGAGCTATCAGCAAAAGGACACACTTCAGTGTGCGTCAAAGAATTATTTTACAGGACAAACTTTAATCTTTAAATGTGATTGTAGATAATTTGTGGTACCATCTGTCCATTTGGAATTGTTTTAGCCTTTTCTATCGTTATACAGTAAGTGCTGCTGTGTTTAACATTAACATTTGATATTTTACACATTTAATTTCTGTTCTGCTGTGTGGTCCTTGGGGAATGAAACCCTAGTGCTACATGAGAGAGACAAAGTATTGATCAGTTAACATTTCAGCTACATTTATGTATGTCGCAAAATTAATGAAAATGCCAGACAAAAAATGTCAGAGTGCACAAAGAGGTAGAATTTAAATTTGATACTTTAATGAAAAGTCTTAAGATGTGCATTATCAAAAATGTCCTCTTGCCTTTAAAGTACAATTCTGCACAGAATAACTAGCAGGAAACACATATTTTACTTAGAGGAACAATGAACATGAATTATGACAAGATAGCAGGCCCTCATAGCACCCTGTACAGCAAAAATGGCATGTGTGAATGCATAACTGGTAGCCATAAAATACACTTGTTTCTGGCCGTGTCTGAGGAGCCATTGGCTTCCACCCTCTGTCCTGACCAACCCAGGCAGGCTTTCTAGTAAGATTCTGGCCTAGTTTTGCCTCTCTGTCTCTGTGTCTCTGTGTCTCTCTCTCTATCTGTGTCTGTCTCCTTTGTTTCTGTCTGTCTCTCCATGTCTGTCTGTCTGTCTCTCTCTCTCTCTCTCTCTCTCTCTCTGTGTGTGTGTGTGTGTGTGTGTGTGTGTGTACAGAATTCTATCTATAGTAATTCATTGAAGACACTGGTCTTCCCTTACTCATCCCTGTCGGGGCATTTTGGGCATTTTCAATTGCCTGCTTTCCTTTGCTTCTGGACAATTTGTGTTCCCTCTTCTTAACAAAATGTCCCCATTTTTGTAAAGGATCACACTGGGACCACAGGGGTTTTTGTTGTTGTTTTGTTTTGTTTTGTTTTCAGAAAATCTGGACCATTGTGGAGGTAGAGAGAACGAACAGAAATGATACATGCATAGAGTGGCATGTGGGAGGTGTGTGTAGGCAAATGTTCAAAATTAAAATAAAAAATGAAGAAACCACAGGGAAAAAGGAGGAACCGACCTTGGGAGGCGATGGGAATAAAGAGCAGTGAACTGAATACCAGAGGCAGTCAGCATGCTTTACTATGTGCTTCCTGTATAGAAAGTCTGCTGCTATTAAACAACTTAAAGATTTCTCTAACAAGTATTACAAGCTATAAAGGCATTGTAAGTGGCTTTCATGATTAAGGACTGAAAGGCCATGTTACTCAAGGAGAAATACCAATGTGAAAACAAAGGCATCTCTGCATTGCTTGTGGTCTAATCTTAGCATACATAGGGGATGTAGGATACAAAGGCATCTCTGCATCGCTGTAGTCCAGTCTTAGAATACATAGTGGATGTAGGATGGAGGGTTATTGTACTGGATCTAGTGAAAAGCACTTCACATTTACAGCAGAAATTTCCATTTGGGGAATTTAACAGATACCAGTAATACCACACCAATGAAATTATGGCAATTTTCAAATTATTTTTATAGGAGCATTTTTATTGCTACAATTATTTTCTTAGAGCTAGCAAAAAACAAAAATGGAAATGTTCCAGGCACACATTTTGATGCTTTCCCCACAGAGACAAAAAGCTTGAAAATCAAAGAAATGAGCACCAATGAAACATGATGTACTAC